CTGAGAGGTCCGGGGAAAAGGGCCTCGTACAAAGACCTGGAACCTGCGGAGTTAGGGGTCTGCGTCCCGGGCCCGTCTCTGACTCCAGCACACCAGGAGGGGACAGACAAACTTGGGCCTAGCGGACCTTGTAAGTGGATTTTTTGGGGAGTGGGGGAGATAAAATTTACATAACATAATGTTCATCACTTTAACCATTTTAAGTGTGTGTCTCAGTGGTTTTGCTTTATATTCGTAAAATTGTGTGCTCATCACCACTAATTCTAGGGCGTTTCATCACCCCCCCAAAAAAACCGCTGCACCCTTAAGCAGTCACACCCCGTTTCCCTCTTTCCCTAGCTTGAGGCAGCCACTAATATATGAGGGTTGCAGGTAGATTTGACAATGTTTTTTGCCAAATTAACCGAGAAGTTCCGTTCGTTGTGACTGACTGTCTTGTGGGAACGGCGGACCAATTTCTACCCTCTCCTCCAGGATGGTGCCGTTTTTTTCAGCTTATGCAACTTACTCTTCATTTCTTTTCAGGAATTCTGTCATATTTTTGATGTGTAAATTCTATTTTCTTTTACTGCTCCTTAGGAATCTTTTGTTGCTTCTGTGGATGGATTTCCTACCTTGTTCCCCATTGGATCTTCTTGAGAAAGGACCGTTTTTGTCTTTTTCTTTTTTTTTTAGAGACAGAGTCTTACTCTGTCACCCAGGCTAGAGTGCAGAGGCATCATCATAGGTCACTGCAACCTCAAACTCCTGGACTCAAGTGATCCTCCTGCCTCAGCCTCCCGGGTAGCTGGCACTACAGGCATGCACCACCATACCCGGCTAATTTTTTCTGTTTTTAGTTGTTTGGCTAATTTCTTTCTATTTTTAGTAGAGACGGGTTCTTGCTCTTGCTTAGACTGGTGTCTTTTCCCACTTTTGTCACTAGGTTGGGAATTGCAGTGCTCCTGGTCAAGCCCCCAGTCAGGTCCGTCCTGATCTATCCTCCAGGATGGCTGCCTTCAACCCATGGGCCTCCTGGGGTGAGTTCAAATCCTGTTTCTTCAGGGCCTCACCTGGCTGTTACCTGCTGTAGCTGTGGATCAGAGCCGCAGAGGGGCTGAGGACTTTTAGAGATGCGAAGGGGTCTCTTCATCTTGGTGCAGACCTAGAACTGATCGGGAGTCAGAATTGGAACTGGCTGGTGATAAAGGGGGAGAACTGTTGTCGTAAAAGACAATGTAACTTTTATATATTTCATAGTTGTCTCCCGAGAAGCGTCATCAGCTCTAAGAGATT